CCAGGAAAAGAGTCATAAGGGATTTTATCCAATTCCTCAACCTGTATCTCCATCCATTGCTATTCCAAGACAACCTTCCTCTGTAATTTCCAAGCAAGCTTTTCTCCCGTAGCAAGTTTATTCCACCTTGTGGCATCAACGGTTTGGTCATGTTTCCAATGACATTCTTCAGCATATGCTCAAACAATCACAACTTTCTGTTCACCCTGATCATCACCAAGTATATGTAGTTTTTGTTTGAATGGTAAAATGCATTACCATTTTCCCCTTCTCAATCTGTATCTCTTCTTCCTTTTCAAAAATTGCACACAAATGTATAGGGTCCAGCTCCTTGTGTTGCTTATGGAGGATACCATTACTATGTTTCTATCAGAAATGACTCTACAAGATACGTGTGGATTTTTCCACTCTTCAATAAATCAGCACCACTGGGTTAGCAAACCCAAGAACCCATCTTTGCTGCTACACCAATATTGGGTTTTGGGTAAACCCCTCACTCTCTCACTTCAGTTTCTCCCTGTGAAACTAATACAAATGGAGAGGACAAGTCAAGACGGTCGGATTAAAATTCCACGGCTAGAATAATAACACATATAAAAAGGACATTTCATCTTTTTTCTTTTTCTGTTTTGCTAAATTATGATTTTTGTAATTATAATTTAGGCGCAGTTCACTTTAGTATTTCTAGTTTCATTTTTCGTGAGTTTACTAATTGTTGCAATTGAGCTTAATTTTGTTAACTCTCTCAACAAGATTAGCACATGAGTGGCATAGGTAAAGTGAGGGTAAATTTGGCTTCTTGGAAGTGCATGTATCATACAATTTTGTTGAAAGTTTTTACGAAATAAGTTAGTGTTATTATTTCTTAGCACGTAACGAAATAAGTTATTACTACTTTTCAGTTTGATACAAGCGATATTTAAGAAGAGAGAATTCGAATATGGGATCACAGTGCAGAGGTAAGCTTTTAACGACCAAAGCAGACATGTGCTTAGCTAAATTAGCTCAAGCGCAAACCTGAGTTCAAATTCCCTCCTTATAATTTAGATAAATTTAAAATAAAATATCGTTTGTATCAATAATTAGATTATGTCCTTGAATCAGTTTGCTCTTGATTTTATTTGGGCTTGATGATCTGATGGTCTTTGTTCTTGTTGGGATTACAAATGAAGCCTATTGGAGCTGGAGGATTGCAAAAGCAAAAGGCAACGTGTCCTTCACCTTAACCTCAACTCTCAAAAGTACCAAAACCAACTGGTGTGACCCTCCATTTTGGTGGCTTTTGGTTCAGGCTACAAATTGCCAAGCCCAACATGCCCCTTTCCCATGGTGTGGGTATGGGAATGGCTATGCTTTTATCTCCTTTGAAACCACTGGCCTTCTCCTCCTCTGCATTCTCTCAGGACCCATCAACATCATCATCATATCGACCTGCTGTTGTTCTTCCAGTTAAGCTTATAATTTCTCTCTTAAGTTTTCCTCATCTGGGTTTCACTTGTTCTGTCAAACTGCAATATGTGTGCATAACTTTTGGGACTTTGGCATTTTGCAAATATCTCAGTTTCTGTTTCGTGGGTTTTTATATATATTTATTTCAGGGTTTGGGGAACAATTCAGCTGACTACCAGAAGTTGGAGCTTACTTTGGGTGAGTATGGAGTGGCCACAGTAGTTGCTAAGG